AAAAATATTCACCAACATTAGAGAATTGAAGATATCAACATGAAATGAACAAATCTGAGAGAGGTCTACCCAAGGTACATATACACCAAGTATCAAAGCATTCAGGCTTGTAGTTTTCAAGAAGAAGTCGAAAAAGTAAAACATTGACACGGACGACGACGGACGACGACGACGGACGACGACGGACAATCACTCATATGATAAGCTCCGCTCGACAAAGTCGACAGCGGAGCTAAAAAACACATCTTCCAGTGACTGATTGTGTTAAATCTGTTATCCAACAAATTTCAATAGATGCTGTGATGTTCACAGAAAAGAACAAGTAACTCTGTGTTACAAGATGTAGAGATATAAATATACTAGTATATATATATCAAATCCAAACATGTAATGACAATAAGACTTCTTGAAAGGCTAAGCCTGAAAAGCGAGTAGCGAAGTTTCTCCCATATACTCATTACACACACAACGCCTATATACAAATAGATCGGTTGTATCATATACATGTATATACAGATGTGCGAAGCACCAAATTTTGAGGTAAATCAAATCAATTTTTCAAAAACCTAAGCATTGAAATAAATTTTAAGAAAAACCCAACTCTTAAAATGTTTTAAACATGCTTTTTCTTGTAATAGCAGAAATCCTGTCACATGCTTTCAACAACAAAAGAACAATGATGCCGTTGAATCATGGCAGTGTTGTTTATTTCGCACGAACACATTCAACACCACTGAATGGTTGATGCATTCAACTGACTTGTGCGCCACTACATTAGAAGTTCCTAAGTTTCGTAAAACCAATGGACATACATATGTATCCAAAGACCATGATATACGAGGTTTGAGTTGTACTGCATGCAGGTTTGTTATACATCGCCTTACAGCAAGTATCAGTGTAGATGCGGCTGGAAACATCAAAAGCCAAAACCCAAGCAGTTAGCCAATTTGCTGGCGAGTTTTATGTAAATGGAAGATTACTTACGCCACATTTCTTGCTTGTATCATTACGTTTCCAGTGTTTCTTGTTCTTCTTCGTTGCTGCAGTCGGCACAACAATGGCATGCTGGGAAGTCCTTGGATTTAGCGACAATAAACTCTATTTAACAAAAAATAATTGAATAGTTAACTATATAATCTCATTAACATAATAATTTTAAAAGATTAGGATTATTATTATAATCTTTATTGCTATTGTATTCCGAAAAGAATATTGATTCTAGTACAATAAAGTTTCAAATTTGTTCATAATAAATTGCATGTCCAGATTTAGAATTAGCAACCATCCATTAGCAATAGAGAAAGGTAGACATACTCAACCAAAAACACCCCTAGAAAATAGATTATGTATACATTGTTCAGAGAACAAAATAGAAAATGAGGTACATTTTTTCATGGAATGTCCAAAATATTACAATAAAAGGCAAAAACTATTGAGAGATGTAATAATTCCAAACACAGCCCACAACATTAATCAGAAATTTATATACCTGATGAGTTGCAATGATGTTGAAATTATAAGACAAGTGGGTGAATATGTATATGCCATATCTGACATTAGAACAGAACATCCAATTAAAAGATAATTCTTACTTTTATCATTTTTTTTTTCTTTTTCGTTTGAGCATTTTACATTTTTTTGTTTTTTTTTTGTTTATGTATTTCATTGTTATTGCTTTTAACTGATGAAAAATTTATTTCAAGGATGCAATAACATTTGTTATTATTATTATTATTAATAACATGCATATTTTTTGAGCCAACAATCTATTTTAAAAATATTTTAACAAAAAATAAGCAATGAACAACATTACTACACAAGGGTGATTATGGTCAGAAGTGTTCCTTAACATTTTCACTACCAGAATTTCACACCCAAATTTTTCTACACATTTTTTTTATATTCTTCAATAATTCCGGAAATGAACCCTAGTTTTGAAGCCAACAGACACAATTTGGGTAAATTTTCAGTTTTTACTTGAAAAATTTGTCTATTTTTGTCCCACTTTTCTGAAGGAAAGTGCAGACTATAAACAGGACTATTTTGTGAATTTGTGATGAAAACTGGAACTGGTGGTGAAAAAGGTTAAAAGACAGTGTTCGTCATGTCGCGTCATGTTCAACATAAGACAACATATACAACACATGTAAAAAACATTATTTTTTTTATTTTAAATTTTAACACGTGCTGTGCGACAACCATTGCCCTTTAAATACTGTAGAATACTTTATTTTCACTTGGAATTTATTTTCGCTATTTTCGCTGAAGGGATGATTCCGTGAAAATAAAATCCAGCGAATATACTTTTTTTTTCCTATATTTCCCATTAAAATCAGTAAAAATAAATTTCATACAAAACGCCCAAAAAGTCTTTTCAGCGAAAATTAATTAATTCCAGCGAAAATAAAGTGTTCCACAGTATTGTGCAGATGTACGCTCTGTCCCACTGGCTATTATTTTCTAAAAGTCTATAGAAAATTTCAATGTGTTTTAAGCGAGCTAATGTTGTCACATGTGATTAATTACACATGTACATGTTCTTTGTGTTATCAATAAGGTGTTTGAATATTTTGGGTGAATACTTGATATCAACCCGCTATGCTCACAATTTTGAATTAAATCAGAGAAGGAATGCCTGAGAATCCAGCGATGTTTTATTCTGCAGCCATTTTGGATATTGCATTTAGGGTTATGATTCAATTGTTATTTTGTTTAAACAAGTCATGTCATGTCATGTCCTGTTGTGCAACAGTAAACAAAACTGAGTCATTTTGAATCAAAACATGGCTTATCATTAAACACATCAAACAAACCTTTTATCCTTTGTTAACTTTTTAGCTGAAATATTTTAGTAAGTCATTCGATTCAGTTAATCATGAAATTCTCATTTATAAACTTAATCATTATGTCATTTCAGGTAGACTGTTGGCGCTATTGAAATCATACTCGAGCATGCACAAACAATGAGTCGCTATTGACAACCATTGTTCAGACTGGTGCCATTTCATATCAGGAGTATCTCAGGGCCCTTTGCTCGACCCTTTGCTTTAATTATTTGCCAGTGTTTGCAATCTTCAAGTCAGGTATACTCTGATGATACCAAGTTTTATAAGTTTGTCAACAATATTTCAGACTGCAAGGATTTGCAGGCACAATTATTATCTTTGAAAACTTAAACTTTTTTATGAATACACAAGACAAGCATGGCACAGTCCCCATTAGTTATCAAATCTATATAGTAATATACATGTAGTATGAGTACTTGTTCATATTGAGCGATATTGCTGTGGAACAGCGTTAATATAATGGGGAATAATATAATGGGGATTAATATAATGGGGATTAATAAAAATGACAATTTTGACAAAATATAAACAACTAGTCATAATAATATACCGGTACTATGGATTGAAATTTGAGGAATCCCATATTTGTAAATTATATTATATCAAAAGAAATTGACATGCAAAGTATGTATCCATTTCTTTATAGAGAATTAGCACAAAACTAAACTATCACTTGAGATAAGTTAGGAATG